TTTTATTCGCGCAGAAAGAGCGTTGCATCTTGATCGGGACCCCAAAGTAGTTTTACTCCTCAGTTACTAGACTAGAAGTTAACATATAACTATCCAGCAATTGCTTAAAAAAAAAAGTGCATGAAATTTCTACCAAGGGGAACCGGCGCGAGTTCTTCTTTCGAGAATGAAACGGAAGAGGCCCAAAAAAAGAGAAGGGACGTCCGACCGAACGACGCGCGAACGTAATTTCATTATCGGACGAGATAAAACGGTTGCGCGCATATCGATATTGCGTAATCGTGTCAAATGCATTGGCGATATTTGCCGGTGTTACCAGTTTGACGCGTTGTATACACCCGGGCATTTGTCGCAGTGGCGCACTTGTCGAAACTACCGCCGTAATTCGCGTAATCGTATACGATTTCAATAACGGTTTAATGGGTAACCGACTTCATTGTCGTATTAGACAGATTACGTCGATTACAAATACGACAGTGGCGCGCTGGTATTTACGACGCGGCGCTGGCGCGCGAATTCCGCTCTCTGTTAGAATTATAGATGGCCATCCGCACGGATACATATGTATGCGTATTCCGTTGGCTGCGCCCTCCGGTGTATATATTCCGGTATAAATTTCGATCGCTAAAACACCGCGTCGCGTTTCATTCATATCAATAACAAACCGCCGATCCGTACGTAGCGACGTTGCGCGCGCCTCTCTCTCCTCCTCCCTCTCCTCCCCGGCGGTTTCTATCCGATTAATCGAGATGAAATAATTTCATGAACGCAACTGCGCCCGCAACGCGGCCGAATATGTCGGCTTCGACAATTAGCTGGTGAAGATACCCTGTCGCCTCGTATCACGGATTCGAAGATCCTTCCTCCTCACATTGTCGTGTTCTCGTCCCGACGACTGAATTACGCGACTCGCCCGGCGCATCGGATTAATAAATTATTGTTGACATTTTAACGGCCAATGTTACGTATACACTGAAGGAAATTATAGCTATTTTCGGCCTCGATTATACCCTTTTTACGCTTTTATAATAATAGTGCAATGATGGAAAATTATAGTCACTTTCGGTGCCAATGAAACACACTTTGCTGAGAGAAATCTCCACAACGATATTTCGGTTCGCAATCAACCCCTCTTCCCTGATCTCGTGTCACGAAAGCTCGTGCGAAGATCGTTGTTCTTTTTCCGGGCATCGCCGTATTACCGTCGTCATCGCGGCGTGATTATGCGATTTGCAACGCGCGCTGCTAATTGACATCTGATACCGATCGATCTCTCTCTCTCTCTCTCTCTCGCGCTCGCACAGACTTTACACTGGATGGTCATTAATTAAATTCGCCGGACCAGCGCGAGACCAGCGGTCGCCGCTGTATAAATGACAAAAAGCCCATCAAAATGTGCGGTATTAAATGATAAATATTTCGCCGGCGCTCGTCGCAGCCTCATCCCTGCCGCCCCCCTCTTACCCCGATGTCACGTCCATGCCTTATTCACCGCGATAGTGCGTCAAATATTTATGACTTACGATCGCGTTTTCCGCGATCGTTCCGGCGAATCGCGCGCTGTACCGATATGTGTACACACACACACACACACACACACATAAGGCGCTCCGGAGCAGCTCAATTTCAAGCGGATTTCACGTGAACGACGGAGAGACATCGACGCGTCGGCGCAGCTGCCCTAACAAGACACAAGGAACCTCGCGAATCAAGTCGGCCGACGTTGCACTCGGACACGGGAAGTGTCTTGGCTCTTAATTGTGTCCCGCGGGCTGAATATCAAACGTCGAATATTGGGGAACGCTAAGCGAGACGCGAACGCGAATACAAATTGACCGCCGACGGACGGAACCTCATAAGAGAGACACACTGCACAGAAAAAAATGAGTCTTAAATCAAGAATAGATATTCGACTCCAACTTCGGATTCGGATCCGACTCTGGCTTTGGATTTGAAGCGTCACACGTTTACTCGCTGTCCGAGTAATAATAAAATAATCGAGCATCCGGATAATGTCAGACGCGTAACTCTAGTACACACTCGGCACGAAAAATCCGCGATTAAGATTAAGATCGGGACTTCTCGGACACCATGTATACACGCGTCTTTAAGCGCTTTTAATTGCCCGGCTGACGGCGTTCGTTCGTGAAACGGCTCGTCGTAAAAGCGCGTGCTGGGGGTCCGTTTAAGAATCGAGAGAGACCCGTCGAGGAGACTCTCGTCCGCGTCTCGTCTCGTCAGCCTCACCGCGACGACGCTCCCTCGGGCCCCGCCACGTGGGCCCGCGGACAAAGAGCGCGATCGCGGGTATTTTTGTTGATGAGCGCGCGGCTTCGTTTATGATCCCATAAATTCCGTCTGATTTCGGCGTAACGGACAAAAGACCACGGCGATCGCGTCGCTCGTATCACGCGCGTATCCTTCCGCACGTCTTATACTCTCTTTCTCACATATTCTCTCTCTCTCTCGTGCTCGCGCGTCCTTTTCTCCGGTGGTTTACCGTCGACGGTAAAATGGAAATGACGCTTTATTGTCCGACGCGGATAGACGCGAGAGAAACACGCACCCGAAACGAATTAAACCGCCCACGCCAACCGGCAGCCCGAGCCCCCTCAATCGCGATCGCGGCTGATTCTTGAATGCCGATCCTTGAATGACTCGCGTTTTCTATAGCGAGCGACGCGCCGACGGTATCGCGGATTATACTCCGGGCGAGATCGGCCGCGGGGAAGGCCGCGGGGATACCGTGAGCTATTATTTGATAATGATGATCAATTACATGTGGATCAAGCGATCCCTCGGACGAACGTTGGTGCTCGCCTCCTCCGGGCTTTTGACGCCGAAAACTACGTCCCACGCGGGACCAGCCAGTAGGCTCGCGAATGCGCGGGCTGTTCATTGTTCGTTCCAGAGAATCGATGAAAAAATTTATGTATAAGCAGCGCGACGAAATATTCCCGGCTGAGTGTCGGGCTGATAATCGCGAAGGCGCGAAACACGCGCGAATCGATGCGCGTCTCCACGTGCATAGCGAACGCGAACGATAAATCTCGCTCGGCTAATAATTCCGTCTTCCATTCGATTCGCGCGTTTCGATCGATCGAGGAGAAACCCGCCGCCGCTGCCGATCAATTTAATCCCCTCTAATCCGCGCAAAAAGTCCACCGGATCCCGGGGGCCGATATTTACCGATTCGATTTCCCAACCGCTGTCCCATCGCATAGAGCCCGGCTTAAGTCGACTAATTTCTCGCGTTCGAGAGGTCGGATCATTAAGGTCCCCGCGTAGCGAGAGGTGCCGAGGATCCTCTCCCAAGGCTACGAATGGATTTGGCAACGTGTGAACGTGTGTCTGNGGGGGGGGGGGGGGGGGGGGGGGGTAGGAGGAGGAGGCTTGCCGATAATCTGGACTAAGACACCGAATTCGATAGATAGGAAGTTCCATTGAGCATGAATAGCGGCCTATAAATAGACGAGCCCAAGAGAGGAAATGTCTACTGATTCTCTAATAACACTGGTCAACACAAAAATTGTATCCAGGATCTAAATCATCAATTCCAGATAATTTTGTGGCGTTGGTCATAAATATGACAATTAAAATCGAAACTTAGATCTAAATTTATAAACTACAATCAAAAGAAAACTCGATATTTGAGGTTTTCGTGAAAGAAAGGGAAAATGTTTTTAAAACCACATCTCTTTCAAAGCTAATTTTTTTATTTTTAAATGGTATAGTAGTTCTGTAAGAGTTTATGAATGAGACACATGTTTTAACTTCCTGTAGGAAGATAGAGACTATTTCTATTCTTTCATTATGATATTCTTTATTTCAAGACTGTTAAAAGATGCCTAATAATAATATAATATTTAAAAGGATTTTTAGATTTTCTGACAGTATGAAAAATAAAAAATTATAATAATTATATATTATATGTTATATTATTATTAATAATTATAATATATTCTATTATTTTATTTTCATACCTCATACTAATAATTAATAGAAAGTTAAAAGATAGCCTATATTATATATTATATATTTCTTGATTATATATTCCTCCTTATTTAATCTTAACTGCTCCAAATATAATGATAAAGAAATATTGTTGGATCTTTTAATTAATCTTGAAAAGAATCGAAATACACGTGTCGTTCAAGCGGCAGAAATATCACGATTTATGCGGACGAAAGTCCGAGATGGAATTGTAAAACTACCCGTAATATTATACAATAACGATCGTTCGGAGTTTTCTCAATTTGACGTTTAATTGTTCCAGGGAAAAAAGGAGAGAGAGAAAGAGAAAGAGAGAGAGAGAGAGAGAGGGAGAGAGAGAGAGAGAGAGAAAGAGAGACGGCGAGATCGAAATCTGTTGCGAGGTAGCGCGGCTTATAAAATTGCGCGGCATTTAAATTCCGCTTGCATATTCCGGGCGGATGCGAGTTGTATGAAAATTGCGAGTGATAAAAATATGAAATGAATCGCGTAGATGTGGAAACGAGCGGGGGAAAAAACTGAGGCTTAATAAAGCGCTTTACGTGGAAAAATAGGACGGCTTGGCCGACATCGATCCGAGGAAGCTGCTTCACTCGGTCAGTAAACGCGTTCGCGTTCGCTCCGCCGTCTCTCTCGCCGTTGCATTTTACGGCTTCCTTCGATTATTACTTCAATATACGCCGTTATCTGAATTATCGTAAATCCAATAACGTTATCTGCAACAACGACCCGACTGAGGCATATGTTATGTCCGCGCTTATATAATACCAATATCGGTTAAATATACATCACTCTCGTTACTAATATCGCGATGAACTGCTTTATTAATATGATAAGCACTGAAACACCTCTCTCTCTCTCTCTCTCTCTCTTTATGTCTCTCTTTCACTTTTCTTTCGAATGTCACGAAAAGCGAAACGTTCGAGGGTACGAAAGTCGCGCGCAACTCAAATTCTGCAATGAAGCGATTTCGGATTAAACTCACATCTCCTTGTCAATTTCCCCAGGTATCGGACAATTTCAACAAAGAACGGAACCACGACACCCAGCTGTCTATTGGCCGGGTCTTCAGGGACTAGTCAGCGACCCTCTTGCATGGCGGGCGAGATTACACACGTGTAAGTTCAGTTTTTAATCACGTACTAGTACTAGGATCTTGTTTTAAACAGTTTAACATCTACCGAATCGATATCAACAATGGCAATCGATGGGCTCAGATTTTGCGCGTTTTTTACGCACAGTAACTGCAGGAGAAGCGTTAGTCATCTTAATCAGCTGATTAGAATCCCAAGTAGTTTCCTCAGTTACTAGACGGAAATTAATATAGCTGTCCAGTAACTGCTCAAAAATGCACGAAATTTCTACCAGGTTTAAAGAATAAAAATGTGTTTAACTGCGTATCCCATTTTCCACTACTTTATATCTACCACTGCATCTTCTTCCCTCACCCTCTCGCTTTTCTGATTTCTTTGAGTGTTCCTTCAAAGAGAAACGGGAATTTATTATTATTGATGTTATTATTATTATTACTTCTAAATACGCGCATTGCCGGCGTTGTAGGTTTCGACCGCCTGCGGATGTTTCGTTACATTTTCCCCGGGCGCGGCGGGTTTGACAGCTGCGCGTGTTTGCTTTCGCGGCGGGAAAATCACAGGACCGGCGAAGTGAAGAAACACGTGCTGCCGAACGTGTCTCCGTTTGAACGGCGTGCCCGGAAAGTCGTTCGGCCCGATTCCCCGGCGTGGGTCGCCCACGGGGTGAAGGAATTTAAAAAATGCGTGGAAACCGTCGAGCGAGAAGCACGGGAAAGGAAGTCGTGGGGGCGAAGGGCTCGCGGCTACGAATGGAGACTCTCAATCCGGACGGGACACGTAGATGACACCGACGCAGGTCGACCGTGATCTCTTCGATCGTGGTTCCGTCACATCAACCTGCTCGAAATTAGCCACCGTGTTTATTCAAAGTACACCGTACCGATAAAGAATCGTGTTCGCTCGACAGGGAAAAATAGTTGTGGACGCGGATGACGAGCGTAACAAACAACACAAGCGAACGATAACGATTAATCGAGCGGTCATACGGCTGTAATTACGGTATACGAAATTATGTGGAATAATTTTGACGCGAACAAAGTTCTACAACTGTTACTCGGGCGAGACTGCGCGCTATACACGTCGCAAGCAGTGTCGGACGTTGAATTTAAAATTGATTCGAGTTGTCGAGTTCGCGCGCCAAACTTTCGCCGGTATAATGCAACGCATACTAATTACCAATTGAATTTCAAATAGTCGTATAATCTATTACTTCCTAATTTATCGATACACAGCGCGCGAGCGCATCGTGCGGGACAAGCGAATAACTGAACAACGTGACTTTTCATTCGACGTGTTTCTGATATTAAATTCGCTTCTACCGAGCCCCATACTTGTCGACTTCGCGTCAAACAATCTCGCGCGCCATTAGTCGCATTAAAAATTATGCATGTGGCGCACACGACACTCTGAGCCGCACTTCTCACATTTAAAGATGCGTATACATTCATGTTCGTACGCTGAACTCTATCGATAAAAGTGCCTCTAAAAGTGGCTTAGGAACCACTTGATTGACACATTTAAGACACTTTATTGATAAAAGAGAATTCAGAATACGGGAACAAATAATAAAGGAATAGCGAATGCAAACTTTTGTTACATTTTGGAAAATATATATACAAAAAAAATTAGTCTTAAATCAAAACAGCTGTTCTCATATATAAGTAAAAATATAATATTCTTAGAAGATTTTTAGTCTTAAAATAAGCTCAAATAATACTTCCATCGATACAAACCCGATCAAATTAAGATTGAAAGTCCTTTAAGGAGATTATAATATTTTCACTTATATATGAGAATATCTATTCCTGATTTAAGACTAATATTTTTTCGGTGTATATCGTAACAAATCTGAATAAGACGTTTCGAGGGGATTCGCTCATAAGGTGGCTTGTCAGATAATATTAAAGAAAAGGAAATTCGTGCGCGTTTAGACCCGAATATGTCACGTTGTTCGTTCTTCGTTCGTTCGCTAGGTGTACACGCACCTAAAGCTCGTTTACGTGTAGACACCGAAGCGGCCGATCGCACTGGGTCGATCCAGATCGTTATCAAGTGCCGACACACTCCCTTCGCACTCCCTCCGGGCACTTGAACGGTTCACGCTCAATTAGTCGGCGGGATCCCCCACACGACATACATACCGGGACGTTCCCGGCGGTACGGGCGATCGCTCGAGCGCCGTGTACATCCCCGCCCTTACGAGAAGACGATTAAGGGCACCGCAGAGAAAAAAATCACAAACAAAGTGGAGGAACACGTGACGTTTCGCGTCGTCCCTTTTCGACGACGGTGAGACCGACCGAGATGGAGAGAATCGTGGTCGGCGAGGGTAAAGACGAAGAGAAAGACAGAGAGAGAGAGAGAGAAAGAGAGAGAAACGGTACATACATCAACCCTCGGGGGTGGCACATGTGCCACCGCTCGTTGTGACGTAAGGAGGGCGGCGAAACGCCGGCGTGTAGAACGCGGGCGTGGACAACGTGTGGGCACACGTGTGGGCACGCGTGTATACTCGTGTGTGTGTGTGAGTGTGTGTACGTGGGTGTGTGTCTGCCCATATGTGTTCCGTGCGTTTGTGCTCTCTCGTGCTTTCGAGTGCCCGTCGCCACACGGCGGAGAGGCAGTGTGTCGTACGTACCGTGGGGGCGAATAAGAGGGTGGTAGCGGTAGTCCGCTGCGGCTCCGTCGGATCCAGGATATCATCATATTCAATATCAACCCTGCCTCCACCCCCGGGAGCGACCGCCGGCCGTCGGTGCCCCTACCGCCGTCGCTGCCGCCGTCACCCTCCCCCCCCCCCC